GTTATTTGCTTTTTGGTTGTTGAGGCATGTGAGTTCTTCATATATTTTGGATGTTAACCCCTTGTCAGATATGTCATTTACGATATATTCTTCCATACTGTAGGATGCCTTTTTGTTCTACTGATGCTGTCCCTTGCTGTACAGAATCTTTTTAGTTTAATGTAGTCCCATTTGTTCATTTTTGCTTTTGTTTCCCTTGCCTGAGGAGATGTATTCATGAAAAAGTTGCTCATGTTTATATTTAAGAGATTTTTGCCTATATTTTCTTCTCTGAGTTTGATGGTTTCATGACTTACATTCAGGTCTTTGTTCCATTTTGACTTAACTTTTGTGTATGGAATTAGACAATAATCCAGTTTCATTCTCTTACATGTAGCTGTCCAGTTTTGCCAACATCAGTTGTTGAAGAAGCTGTCATTTCCCCCTTTTATGTCCATGGCTCCTTTATCATATATTAATTGACCATATATGCTTGGGTTTATATCTGGGCTCTCTATTCTGTTCCACTGGTCTACGGATCTGTTCTTGTGCCAGTACCAAATTGTCTTGATTTCTGTGGCTTTGTAGTAGAGCTTGAAGTTGGGGATCATAATCCCCCCAGCTTTATTCTTCCTTCTCAGGATTACTTTGGCTATTCAGGGTCTTTTGTGGTTCCATATGAATTTTAGAACTATTTGTTCTAGTTCGTTGAAGAATGCTGTTGGTATTTTGATAGGAATAGCATTGAATCTGTAAATTGCTTTAGGCAGGACAGCCATTTTGACAATATTAATTCTTCCTATCCATGAGCACAGGATATATTTCCATTTATTGGTGTCTTTAATTTCTCTCATGAGTGTCTTGTAGTTTTCAGGTTATAGGTCTTTCACCTCCTTGGTTAGGTGTATTCCTAGGTATTTTCTTCTTTTTGAAGTAATTGTGAATGAAATTGTTTTCCTGATTTCTCTTTCTGCTAGTTCATCGGAAGTATATAGGAACACAATGGATTTCTGTGTGTTGATTTTGTATCCTGAAACTTTGCTGAATTCTATTACTAGTTTTAGTAGTTTTGGGGTGTATTCTTTAGGGTTTTTATGGACAATGTTATGTCATCTGCAAACAGTGATAGTTTAATTTCTTCCTTACCAATCTGGATGCCTTTTATTTCTTTTTGTTGTCTGATTATCGTGGCTAGGACCTCCAGTACTATGTTGAATAAAAGGGGGGTGGGTGTGGGCATCCTTGTCTTGTTCTTGATCTCAAAGGAAAAGCTTTCATCTTTTCACTGTTAAGTATGATGTTGGCTGTGGGTTTGTCATATATGTCCTTTATTATGTTGAGGTACTTGCCCTCTACACCCATTTTGTTGAGAGCTTTTATCATGAATGGATGTTGAATTTTGTCCAATGCTTTTTCAGCATCTGTGGAGATGATCATGTAATTTTTGTCCTTTTTGTTGATTTGGTGTATGATGTTGATAGATTCTTTCTAATGTACCATCCTTGCATCCCTGGAATAAATCCTACTTGATCATGATGGATGTATTTTTAAAATTTGTTTTGCTAATATTTTGTTGAGTGTTTTTGCATCTATGTTGATCAGGGATATTGGTCTGTAATTTCTTTTTTTGTGGTGTCTTTGCCTGGTTTCTGTATTACAGTGATGCTGGCCTCATAGAATGAGTTTGGAAGTATTCCCTCCTCTTCTACATTTTGGAAAAGTTTAAGGAGGGTGGGCATTAGGTCTTTACTAAATGTTTGGTAAATCAGTGGTGAAGCCATCTGGTCCAGGAGTTTTGTTCTTAGGTTTATTTTTGATTACTAATTCAATTTCATTGCTGGTAATTGGTCTGTTGAGATTTCCTGTTCTTCCTGGGTCAGCCTTGGAAGTTTGTATTTTCCTAAAAAGTTTTCATTTCTTCTAGGTTATCCAATTTGTTAGAATATAATTTTTCATAGTATTCTCTAATAATTCTTTGTATTTCTGTGGCCCCGTAATGATTTTCCCTTCTAATTTCTGATTCTGTTTATGTGTGTAGACTCTTTTTCTTGATAAGTCTGGCTAGGTGTTTTATCTATTTTGTTTATTTTCTTGAAGAACCAGCTTCTGCTTTCATTGATTCTTTCTATTGTTTTATTCTTCTTGATTTTATTTATCTCTGCTCTGATCTTTGTTATATCCTCCTTCTACTGACTTTGGGTCTCATTTTTTCTTCTTTTTCTAGTTTCATTAATTGTGAGTGTAGACTGTTCCTATGGGATTGTTCTTCTTTCCTGAGGCAAGTCTGTATTGCAGTGTACTTCCCTCTTAGCATAGCCTTTGCTGTGTCCTACAGGTTTTGCAGTATTTTGTTATTGTTGTCGTCTGTCTCCATATATTGCTTTATCTTTTTTTACTTGGTTATTGATCCATTGATTATTTAGGAGCATGTTGTTAAGCCTCCATGTATTTGGGGCTTTTTAGTTTTCTTTGCACAATTTATTTCTAATTTCACACCTTTGTGGTCTGAGAAGCTGTTTGGTACAATTTCAATCCTGATTTACTGAGGCTCTTTTTGTAGCCTAGTATATGATCTATTCTTGAAAATGCTCTGTGTGCACTTGAGAAGAATGTGTATCCTGCTGCTTTTGGGTAGAGTGTTCTGTAGATGTCTGTTAGGTCCATCTGTTCTAATGTGTTGTTCACTGCCTCTGTGTCCTTACTTATTTTCTGTTTGTTTGATCTGTCCTTTGGAGTGAGCGGTGTGTTGAAGTCTCCTAAAATGAATGCATTACTTTGTTTCCCCATTTAATTCTGTTAGTATTTGTTTCATATATTTAAGGTGCTCCTGTGTTGGGTGCATAGATGTTTATAATGTTTATATCCTCTTGTTGGACTGATCCCTTTATAATTATGTAATGTCCTTCTTTGTCTCCTATTTCTTTCTTTGTTTTGAAGTCTTTTTGGTCTGATACAAGTACTGCAATTCCTGCTTTTTTCTCCCTTTTATTTGCATGAAATATCTTTTTCCATCCCTTTACTTATAGTCTGTTATGTCTTTGGGTTTGAAGGGAGTCTCTTGTAGGCTGCACATAGACAGATCTTGTTCTTTTATCCATTCAGTAACTCTGTGTTTTAATTGGTGCATTCAGACCATTTACATTTAGGGTGATCATCAATAGCTATGTACTTATTGCTATTGCTGGCTTTAGATTTGTGATTAGTAAAGGGTCAAGGATAGCTTCTTTACTGTTTAACAGCCTAACTTCACTCAATACGCTATTTCAAATACAATGTAACGGTTCTTTTCTTCCCCCTTCCTTTCCTTTCTTTCTCCTCCATTCGTTATATATTAGGTATCATATTCTCTATTCTTTGTGTATCCCTTGACTGACTTTGTGGGTATTTGATTTAATTTTGCATTTGCTTAGTAATTAATTGGTCTACTTCCTTTTCTGTGATTTTATTTTCCCTGGTGACAGTTATTTAGCATTAGGAACAGTTCGGTCTATTGCAGTCCCTCCAAAATACACTGTAGAGGTGGTTTGTGGGAGGTAAATTCTCTCAGCTTTTGCTTATCTGAAAATTGTTTAATCCCTCTACAAATTTAAATGATAATCTTGCTGGGTAGAGTATTCTTGGTTCTAGGCCCTTGTCTTTCATTGCATTAAATATATGGTGCCACTCCCTTCTCGCCTGTAAGGTTTCTGTTGAGAAGTTTGATGATAGCCTGATGGGGTTTCCTTTGTATGTCATCTTTTTTCTCTCTCTAGCTGCTTTTAAAAGTCTGTCCTTATCCTTGATCTTTGCCATTTTAATTATTATATGTCTTGGTGTTTTTTTCCTTGTGTCTCTTGTGTTGGGAGATCTGTGTACCTTCATGGCTTGAGAGACTATCTCTTTCCCCAGATTGGGGAAATTTTTAGCAATTACCTCCTCAACGACACTTTCTATCCCTTTTTCTCTCTTTCTTCTTCTGGTACCCCTATAATGCAAATATTGTTCCATATGGATTGATCACACAGTTCTCTCAATATTCTTTCATTCCTAGATATCCTTTTTTCTCTCTGGTGCTGCACCACTTCTTAAAAAAATTTAGATGATATTCATAACATATAATTAATCATTTAAAGTATGCAATTCAATGGCATTTAGTATATTTACAGTGTTATGCAGCCATCACCTCTGACATTTCATCACTGCCCAGTGGAGACCCCATATCCCTCAAGATCACCTCTCATTCTCCTTTCCTGTCAGCCTCTGGCAACTACTGGTTTGTTCTCAGTCTCTGTAAATACCTATCCTGGACATTTCATATAGATGGAGTCATAAACACGTGGCCTTTTGTGTCTTGCTTCTTTAGCCTCGTGGTCTCATGTAATGTGTTGATGACACCTGACTTGAAGGTTGGTTTCTAGCATACAATACCACCATCATTTTCCTTCTACTCTGGCTACTTCTTCCTCTGTGCAATCCCAGAATGGACAAAATTGGTGTTTCTCAGGATTCTGCCCTTGGCCTTCTCACTGTACAGATTCAACCTAGGTGTTCTGATTTACTACTGTGACTTTAATTATCATTATATTGATGGCCCTCTCAAGTCTCTGTCTAAAGACTTACATGTCCCTCTATTAGGTGGACAGCTCCCCTAGGATATATAACACATTCAACATAGCCAACACTGAATTTAGGACCTTCCCTGGCTCCTTACATCTGGCCTAAATTCCTCTCTTGGAGCTTCCAGAGCATTCATAGCTCTAGCTTGTTTTATTAAATAGGATAGTCTAATAGCCTGTTTACTTGTTTATTTTTTTCATGAAACTGTAAGCATCAGAGATTGCTCACAGTTGTATCCTGATTTTGATTTAGAGCCCAGTGTGTAGAAGATGCTCAGTAAATGTTTATTCAGTGACTGTATGGAGATAGCATGCTAATGGTTATCATGTGTAATGTGTGGCAAAATGCTTTCAATATATGGTATTTTTTCTCTTTGGAAATTTAGATAATTGTCTAATTTGGCAGTACGTATTTTCACATTTCAGGAACATCTTGACAGCACCCATGGTTCAGTCCATTCCTTAGATGCAGACTTACTGTTGCCATCTGGAGACCCATTCAGTAAATCGGACAATGATATGTTTAAAGATGGACTCAGGAGAGCACAGTCTACAGACAGCTTGGGAACCTCAGGTTCCCTGCAATCCAAAGCTTTAGGCTATAACTACAAAGCAAAATCTGCTGGAAACCTGGATGAATCGGATTTTGGACCATTGGTAGGAGCAGATTCAGTGTCTGAGAACTTTGATACTGCTTCCCTTGGGTCACTGCAAATGCCAAGTGGGTTTATGTTAACCAAAGATCAGGAAAGAGCAATCAAAGCTATGACACCAGAACAGGAAGAGACGGCGTCCCTCCTCTCCAGTGTCACCCAAGGGATGGAAAGTGCTTATGTGTCCCCTAGCGGTTATCGATTAGTCAGTGAGACGGAATGGAATCTCCTGCAGAAAGAGGTGAGTGATCTTCCTGAATTGTTTTCCTGTTGCTTACTTAACTGGGTTGTTCTGGAATTTATTGCTCATTCAAGAGAGTCCCTGGAGTCAGTGCATGCACATGTTGCCAGTAAGGGGATGTTAACTGTATTTTCTGCCCTTTGTCCTGGTCAGCTTTGGCCGTTCAGGTGACTATGAGAAGGGAACTATTAGCTGGCAGCATTTAATGTTAACTCCTCTACCTAAAGTCACACCTCTGAAGTTGGAGCAGTCTGCCTGAAGAGCATGAGTTTAAGTTAGAGTGTTGAATTTGGTGCTTTGCAGTTTTCTATAATCTCAATGTATTCCAAGATTCATACTCCTTTCATCTTTCCTTGAGATCTAAAGTGCAAATGCTTGTCAGCAGTTGATGCTGAAAGTGAGTTTAAGGAGAGGATGGAAAATAATGGGAGAGAAAAAAGGCAACCTTTAATGGGATTAACTTTCCTCCCAATAGTATTTGCAAACTCAGAAGTAAGATTAGGAGATAAAAGCTTAAATGTGTATTTGCATAGTGCTTTACAGATTACAAAGCCCTTTCACATACCTCATCTTTTTGAGCTTTGCGATAATAACAAGGCAATCAGGGCATGATTGTTCCCAATTTGCAGATGAGGAAACTGGCTCAGCAAGGTCAAATGAGTTGTTCATGTTTCCCCTTTGACTTAAAAGCAAAACCTGGTTTAGAATCCAGGTTTTCTGACTTACAGCTTTTTTTTTACTCAGGACTACTTCTCTTTAAAAAAAAGCTGTTTATCAGTATGTGGAACAGCTTATTAGGCCTGACAGAAATTGTTCTCCTTTGTCTCATGCAAAATATATGAATAGGTGATATTTAATAGTTTCATACCTACTTTGTGACTGGAGCTATTGAAATAGTTAATTGGCACTGGTTGCTGTCCATCACAATCCTGCTCTTGGTGGGTAGTATTAATTGAAATTGTGAGTGCCCCAGTGTAGTACCTTTTGCTTGCCTCATGTTTTCCTCAAATGTTGTGTTTTGTGGCCTTTAGCTCTTGTTGATAAAGTTGGGTCCCATGTTTTCTTATTGTACTTGTGTTGGAGTTTATGACTTTTTAGAATCCTATCCTGTGCTTTAACTTCTTGCCCTAAGTCCCTAAAGAAATTGTTTACTCCATGTTCTATTTTGAGTAGCATAGGTAAGACTATACATGTGTGCCTCAAGTATGTGGTGTAGAATTATTTTGCTCTACCTGAAAAGAGGTATTTTGGTGCCCTTCAGGTACATAATGCTGGCAATAAACTTGGTAGACGTTGTGATATGTGTTCCAATTATGAAAAACAGTTACAAGGAATTCAGATTCAGGAGGCTGAAACAAGAGACCAGGTGAGTTTCTTGGGGTATGCCAAATTGGTGAGCTGTTTTTTGTAGTTTTTATTGGAGGTGCAGATTAATTGCTTTTTTTCCCCTCCCATTTCTTTTCTAAAGTGTATCTATCTTTTTAAATATTAAATAACCTGATACCTGCAGTGTCAGTTGCATTCCCGGTGGGGGCACGCTAGAACAGTTTCTGTTGCATATCTTTGGCTTCATTGGCTTGTGTGCCAATGCAGAGGTCAGCTCAACTCGTACAGGAGCACTGGTACATCTCCTTTCCCAACCTGTTGCTCCTGCCCACAGCCTGAAAGTAATATTGGCGTGAGTGTATACATGTGGAAGGTGCCTTATGATATGGAGCTTTAGGGAGATAACTGGCTGACTGTTGTCTCTAATTGAATATTATATTAATCAGTATTTGGAATCTTCATTACTTATGGCCTACTTCTTATCATAAATTTGTTGGATTGATTAAGGTTAATTTACAGGGTCACATAAATTAAGATTTGGTAGATTTGGTATGCTGAGATTGACAAGTACCTTTCCAAACACAGTGCCTAATAATGGGCTCTTCAATAACACTTAGAAAGTAATACAGAATTTCATGAGAGTAGTCTTGGGAAGGTATATGTAGACAAAAGATGTTTTTTTTCTTATATTTTCAATTTATTCTTTGATTATTATGTAAATTGTTCCTTAGTCTTCAAAATAAGTTTAATCAGATTAGAATGATGGTTTAATATTTTTTAAAAATCAATTTAATTTTTAAAAATGGTTTAATATTTTTAAAAGCTATTGGCATTCATTTCTTCCATATATACTTTTTTCATAGATGATTCAAAGGTAAAGCTGTTCATTAGACTAGTATAGTTGACATGTGTTGTGGTAATGGACTATGTTGGATTCCATAGTCATTTCAGTAGACATTTTACTGATGTTTCATCTGTTCAGGCAATTTCCTGGGTATTCAGATGCAGAAAGAACATAGTACTGCCTATTGGAGCTTTCAGTGTTGCCAGACAAGCCAGCAGTTCACTCTAGTTTGTTCCTGTGGATGTACAAATAGAGCTTAGAGGAGGGTCTGGGTCGTCTAACTAAACTGTGGGCTCAGAGAAAGTAACTCATGAGCTAAGTTTGTTTTATGCTGAAGTAAAAGTAATTACGAAGAGAAGTGGGGACAGGGTGTTCACAGAAAGGAAAGATGTATGAAGGAGCAATTATGAAGGACAATGATGTGTTCTAGAAAGCACAATATTCATGTGGCTGGGCATGGGGTGGGATGTGTGATAAAATAATGAGGGAAGAAGCAACAAAGGGAAGGCCAAGATATGAGATCACTGAGGGAGGGGTGGTGATTGAAGGGATTTAAATTTTACCCTAAAGACTTTGGGAGGCAGTTAGGAATTTTAAGTAGGGAAATAATACTGTTTGACTTAAATTTTAGGAAAAATTTGTAGTGTTAGTGTGGATTGTAGACTAGAGGCAGAGGATAGATTAGAATCCTAGAGGCCTGTGCCCTAGCTTAGAGGACCCATGAGGAAAAGCGGATATTTTCACATGAGGTAATTATGTGAAAAATGATTTTTTAACTGTGAAGCATGGTACAGTTGTCCAATGAGGTCATTGATTCATTTTTTTTTTTTTTCTGAATTGACAAATCTATGATTTTTTTGGGTGAGGGAAGATCAGACTTTTAAAAAAACTTCAGAGCTCGAGATTTTTTTGTTAATTTATAAAAGAATTCTGGTTCTTCTAATTGACATTTAAAATTGCATAGGTGAAAAAGCTACAGGTGATGCTAAGGCAAGCAAATGACCAGTTAGAGAAGACGATGAAAGATAAACAGGAATTAGAGGACTTCATAAAGCAGAGTACTGAAGATTCAAGTCATCAGGTAAATGAGGGTTTTTAGAATGTGGCCCATGTGAGATGACTGCATTATTTAAACAAAAAAATTCTAAACACATAGTAATATTTCTTTTTTCCCCTAAAAATTTGGCAGTTTTATTTTCCCTTGGAAAAGAAAGATCTCTTACTGATCTTTCTCTGGTGTCTGTTTTACAGAGTTTTAAAAATAACTCTTGGGGTAACTAGCTTAGTGAATATTAGGGAACTCTAATTCTCCTTTACCCTTCTATTTTTATTAGATTTTTCTGCTGCACAAGAAATTTGCTGACAGAGAAGATACTAATTCTCTCTTTTTTGACTTTTTAAAAATACCAGATACATAGAAAAAAACTCAAGCATATACAGGTATACTGAACATACCAGAACTAACATCTGTATAACCAACATAAAAATTAAATAGTAGAACATTAGCCAATATCCCAGAAGGTGTCACTTTCCCCTTCTACGTTTACTAGCTCCTCCACAGAAGTATCAAGTATCCATCATCCTGACTTCTAAAATCAGTAGGTTGGTTTTGTTTGTTTTTTTATTTTTATAAATGAATCATGTGGAATGTATTCTTTTGTATCTGTCTGCCTTCATTCAACATTGTGAGATTCCTCTTCATGATATACGTAGCAGTGGTTTGTTCATTTTCATTGTTATGTAGTTGTACCATTGTATGGATATGTCCTCATTTATCTTACTGTTGATGAGTGTCGGGTTGTTTCTAGTTCTGGGATATTGTGGTAATTCTACTTTGAAATTTCTGTATAGGGCTTGTTATACATATTTCTGCTGTGTATATGCCCAGCAGAGGAATGCCTGGGTCAGGCATTCAAAATATATGTCATCTTTGAACTCACACTCCTCAACACCCAAAAAGCAAATAACCCTACTAAAAAATGGGTGGAAGATATGAACAGACACTTCTCCAAAGAAGAAATTGAGATGGCTAGCTGGCACATGAAAAGATGCTCTACACTGCTAATTATCAGGGAAGTGCAAATAAAAACCACGATGAGATATCACTTCACACCAGTTAGGATGGCCAACATCCAAAAGACAAACAACAAAAAATGCTGGCGAGGATGCAGAGAAAGGTGGGAATGTAAGCTAGTTCAACCATTGTGGAAAGCAATATGGAATTTTGTGGAAAGCAAAATTCTCAAAAAACTCAAAATAGAAGTACCATTTGACCCAGAATTCCACTCCTAGTAATTTGCCCAGAGAATATAATTTCTCAGAAAGACATATGCACCCCTATGTTTATTGCAGCACTATTTATAATAGCCAAGATATGGAAGCAACGTAAATGTCCATCAGTAGATGAATGGATTAAGAAGAGGTGGTACATATACACAATGGAATAATTTTCAGCCATGAGAAGAAAACAAATCCTACCATTTGCAACAACATGGATGGAGCTAGAGGGAAATAATCCAGTAAAATAAGCCAGGCGAAGAAAGACAAGTACCAAATGATTTCACTCATCTGTGGATCATAAGAACAAAGCAAAAACTGAAGGAACAGAACAGCAGCAGACTCACAGAACCCAAGAATGGACTAACAGTTGCCAAGGGGAAAGGGACTGGGGACGGTGGGTGGGAAGGGAGGAAGAAGGGGAATAAGGGGCATTATGATTAGCACACATAATGTAGGGGGGAGCACGGGGAAGGTAGTATAGCACAGAGAAGACAAGTAGTGACTCTGTAGCATCTTACTATGCTGATGGACAGTGACTGTAATGGGGTATGTGGTGGGGACTTGATAATGGAGGGAATCTAGTAACCACAGTGTTGCTCATGTGATTATATATATTGATACCAAAAAAAAAAAATATATATATATATATATATATATATATACATGTCATCTTTAGGAGATAAAAATGCCAGTTTTTCAACAAGGTTGTACAGACTTACACTCCCACTAACAACGAATGAGAAGAAATCTTGTGAGTCCATAGTCTTGACACATGATTGATTGATTGTTTGATTTAGAAGTTGTTTAAAATTTTTTAAAATTTATTTTATTAAGGTATCATTGATACACACTTATGAAGGTTTCACAAGAGAAACAATGTGGTTATTACATTCACCCTCATTATCAAGTTTCCCCCATACCCCATTGCAGTCACTGTCCATCAGTGTAGTAAGATGCCACAGAGTCCCCACTTGTCTTCTCTGAGTTACACTGTCTTCCCCGTGACCCCACACACACCATGTGCACTTATCAAGATACCCCACAATCCCCTTCTCCCTTCCTCCCCACCCCTCCTTCTCCACCCCTTCCCTTTGGTAACCATTAGTCCCTTCTTGGAGTCTGTGAGTCTGCTGCTATTTTGTTCCTTCAGTTTTGCTTCATTGTTATACTCCACAAATGAGGCAAATCATTTGGTATTTGTCTTTCTCTGCCAGACTTATTTCACTGAGCATAATATCTTCCAGCTCCATCCATGTTGTTACAAATGGTAGGATCTGTTTGTTTCTTATGGCTGAATAGTATTCCATTGTGTATATGTACCACCTTTTCTTTATCCATTCATCTACTGATGGACACTTAGGTGCTTCCTTATCTTAGCTATTATAAATAGTGCTGCAATAAACAAATAAACATAGGGGTGCATATATCTTTTTGAATCTGAGCAGTTTACTTTGGATAAATTCCTAGGAGTGGAATTCCGGGTCAAATGGTATTTCTCTTTTTAGTTTTTTGAGGAACCTCCATATTGCTTTCTGCAATGGTTGAACTAGTTTACATTCCCACCAGCAGTGTAGGAGGGGGTTCCCTTTTCTCCGCATCCTCACCAGCATTTGTTGTTGTTAGTCTTTTCGATACTGGCCATCCTAACTGGTATGAGGTGATATCTCATTGTGGTTTTAATTTGCATTTCCCTGATAATTAGCGATGTGGAGCATTTTTTCATGTGCCTGTTGGCCATCTGAATTTCTTCTTTGGAGAAGTGTCTGTTCATATCCTCTGCCCATTTTTTAGTAGGGTTATTTGCTTTTTGGGTGTTGAGGCGTGTGAGTTCTTTATATATTCTGGATGTTAACCCCTTGTTGGATATGTCATTTACAAATATATTCTCATACGGTAGGATGCCTTTTTGTTCTGCTGATGGTGTCCTTTGCTGTACAGAAGCTTTTTAGCTTGATGTAGTCCCATTTGTTCATTTTTACTTTTGTTTCCCTTGCCTGAGGAGATGTGTTCATGAAAAAGTTGCTCATGTTTCTTCCAAGAGATTTTTGCGTGTGTTTTCTTCTAAGAGTGTTATGGTTTCATGACTTAAATTCAGATCTTTGATCCATTTTGAGTTTACTTTTGTGTATGGGGTTAGTCAATAATCCAGTTTCCTTCTCTTGCATGTAGCTGTCCAGTTTTGCCAGCACCAGTTGTTGAAAAGGCTGTTATTTCCCCATAATATATTCATGGCTCTTTTATCATATATTAATTGTATTTGTTTGGGTTTAATTCAGGGCTCTCTAGTCTGTTCCATTGGTCTATGGGTCTGTTCTTGTGCCAATACCAAACTGTCTTGATTACTGTGGCTTTGTAGTAGAGCTTGAAGTTGGGGAGCGTAAACACCCCTGCTTTATTCTTCCTTCTCAGGATTGCTTTGGCTATTTGGGGTCTTCTGTGGTTCCATATGAATTTTAGAACTATTTGCTCTAGTTTGTTGAAGAATGCTGTAGGTATTTTGATAGAGATTGCATTGAATCTGTCAATTGCTTTAGGCAGGATGGCCATTTTGACAATATTAATTCTTCCTATCCATGAGCATGAGCTGTGTTTCCATTTATTGGTATAGGTCAGTTCCTTTTTAAAAGTCTTTGCAAAGCCTTTGGATCTGACCAAATGTGTAATAGTTCAAGGGTGAATATGGGACTTGTGCTGATTATACCTGGAATTAGGGGATCCTTTTTCTAGTTCTCTCCTCTCTGAAAATACCTCCCTACTCTTCAGCTCACAGGGATCATGTTCTGGCCATTTGATCAGAAAGACAGTTTTGTTTTTTGTGCCATGGCAACTGTCGCAGCTTTACAGCTGGGGCAGCCCTCCAATTAATGCTCTCAAGAAAGTAAGAAAAAATCCCATATAAACAGTAAACTTACTCCTATACGAATTACTTCTTCCCATTTTGACTTTCCTCCCTAAACTCTCTGCTTTTGCTAATTTTTCAGAGTCCTCAGATGGTTGCTTTATGTATTTTACTCAGTTTTCAGTTATAATTGGGAGAGAAAATCCATGGTGGCCTTAGTCCATTTTGGACAGCACCAGAAGTAGCCATTCTCTCATATTTTTGTTCATTAGATATTTTTTCTTTCCACCTTCATTCAAGGAAGATAATTCTGGCCAGCTGTACAATGCTGAGCACTTAATGCAATTTTCTGTTAACACTTTGAAGTTACAGTTCCTTTGCTTCTGGCTTCTATGTTTCTGATGAGATGTCAAATATCAGTCTTGTTCCTTTGAAGGTAAATGTTACTTTTTTCCCTGGCTATTTTAAGGATGTTCTTTTCAAAAGTTTTTGTTTTTAGCAGCTCTACAGAGCTATACTTAGGTGTATTTTTCTTCATATTTCTCTTGTTTGGGGTTCACAGTGTTTCTTGGATCTATGAGTTGGTGTTTTACATCATAACTGGAATATTCTGAGCTGTTATGTCTCTAAAAGGCTTTTTTTTGTTGAAATATATGTACAGTTTAAGTGTACAAATCTCAAATATATATGTTGATGAATTTTAACATGAAAATTTTTACTATGTCAATCACTACCTTATGAAGATACGGAATTTTCTAATACACTCATATTCTTTCCTAACAAATATCCCACCTGCCTATACATAGATGTAGCCAGTATATTGACTTTTTTTTAATACACAAAAAATCTGTTGCTTTATTGTATAACATCAATGAACAATTTGAATTTGAAATTAAAAATACCACTTACAGAACTTATTCACTATGTAAGAATTCGTTCACTATGTAAGAACTTGTTCGTTATGCTTCAGAAGATTGGAGACTGATGAGAACTAGGCTTGAGATGGATGAATGATTGTGCATTGAGCATTGACCCCCCTATACAGAATTTTATTGTTGTTAACAACCATTTGATCAATAAATATGAGAGATGCTCTCTCAAAAAAAAAATACCACTTACATTAACACTCACAAAAATGAAGTACTGAGTACAAATCTATCAAAATAGGAATAACATCTATGTGAGGAAAACCACAAAACTCTGATGAAAGAAATCAAAGATGATCTAAAAATGGAGATACTCCATGTATATAGATAGGAAGACTCAGTCTTGTCAAGATTTTAGTTCTTCCCAACTTAATCTATAGATTCAATACAGTCTAATCAAATCCCATCAAGTTATTTTGTGGATACTGACAAACTGAAAGTTTATAAGGGATTGAAAAGACCCAGAATAACCAACACAGTATTAAGGGAAGAAGAAAGTTGGAGGGCTGACAGTATTTGACTTCAAGACTTATTATGAAGTTATAGTAATCAAGGCAGTGTAGTATTGATGAAAGAATACATAAATCAATGGAACAGAATAGAGAGCCCAAGAATAGACCCACACATGTATAGTCAAGTGATCTTTAAGAAAGGAACAAAGGCAATTCAATGGAGAAAGGGTGGTCTTTTTCACATATGGTACTGAAACTGGATGTTTACATGTGCAAAATATAAATCTAGTCATAGATCTTACACAGACCTTACATGTTCCCCCCAAATTAACTCAAATGTATCATAGACATCAACATAAAGTGCAGAACTATAAAACTCCTAGAATACAGCATAGTAGAAAATCTAGGGGAACTTGGGTGTGTTGGTGACTTTTGAGATACACTGAAAGCACTATCCATGAAAGAAAAAAAAATGATGAGTTGGACTTCATTCAAATTTAAAACATCAACTTCTCTGTTAAGAGAATGAAAAATTGCTGCCTTCCTCTCCCACTGTCTTGAGGACCATGGCTTTAACAAAACACTAGAAATAACATCAATGCCCACTAAGAGGGGATTGGTTATTAGATGACCCTGTTGGAATGAAAGCCTTAATAGTGGTACAAATAAGACATTTTCCATTGTACCTCTAGGTCCTCTCTTCCTACTTCTCCACCCTGCTCTGGAGTACCAGGAAACTAGCCTTTGGCCTCTGCTAGGTACAGCTACCTGGGAGCCTGGCAAAATACTAGAGAGGGGAGATGGAGAGTAAGAGTAATTTATTCTCTGAGAGGTCAGAGTATTTATTCCTCTTAGTAGGGCCAACACAACTTGTCTATTTCCTCGACCTGTGTACATGACTCTGTCCTTCTCAAGTCAGGTAACCACTGCCTCCCCTGTCCCCTTCCTTCAGGACTAGGGATGACAGACCCTCCCCCAGGCCCCCCCTCCCCCCCGGAGGCACTGTACTATCCTTGTCCTTTTCCTTCACTATCCAATACCTTTTGTAAATACTCCTGATATTAAACCCACCTCAAATTATCCTAATTTGATTGGGCCATCTGTTTCCTGCTGGGTCCCTAACAGTATAATTAAAGATGTGGGAAAATGCAAATGAGAGATAATAGTAAAACATAAAAAGCAGACTACCAAACTGCATACAGCCGGTTCCAATTAGGGAGAAATTGCTCATAGAAAGGAAAAAAGGGCAAGGGGATTGTAACCAACTGTTAAAATGAATTACCTAGAGGAAGTGGGATTAAAGACTCACTTTTGCTCTCCAAATTGTATGTTTTTGTATTGGCTATATCTTTACAATGAATGTGTTACTTCAGCAATCTGAAAACATATGCACAGATAAATATACATAAAATTTCCAAACATTGGAAACATTGTTCCAGAGTTGGTGTAAGGAGAGAGGCAGGTAGTGAAGATACAGGTTTTTTCCTCCTCTAGGCATTTCTGTATTTTTCAAGCTTGATCCAGTGAACTGTCTTGCCAATTTTATCAGAAAAAGAAGTAATAGATTTTATTTATTTATTTATTTTTTGATCACGCATCATCAACTATAAGCAATCAAGTCAGATATGATTATTCATTTGATTTTTATACTTGATTTATATGTGAATCCCACATTTCTCCCTTATTATTATTTTTTTAATAAAATGCTGAAGTGGTAGGTAGATGCAAGATAAAGGTAGAAAACATAATTTAGTGCTGTAAGAGGGCAAATGTAGATGATCAGGTCTGTGCCTATAGACCAAGTATTAATCCAAGCTTGACAAGGGCAACAAAACATCCACGGATGCAGAAGATTTCTCTCAAAACAGGGGGTTGAGGTTCTAAGCCTCACCTCTGTTGATCCCCAATTTCTCTTCTGATGGCCCCCTTGCGACTGTGCCTGTCTTGGGTTGTTCCTCCCCTGAGGAATCTTACCCGTCTCTGGCTAGTATATTGACTTTTAACACTGTGTTTTAGTATTGCTTGTTCTTAAACTTTATATAATGACAGCATATAGTATGTAGCCTTTTGCATTAGGTCTATTTAATCATCATGTCTGTGAGACTCATCCATATTGCTTTGTGTATAATAGTTATATTTTAATGATGTGTCTATACTATTACATGTAGGTAATTTATTTACCCTTTCTACAGCTGAGATATATTTGGGTTGTTTCCAGGTTTTGGCTATTGTGAATGAATACATTTTCTAACATTCTCGTACATGTCTTTTGGTCGGCTTGTGAACTCATTTCTCTTTATATCTAGGAGTGAAATTACAGAGTTTATGAATGAGCTTATTTTAAGCTCTTCTAGCTATTTCCACCGGCCACATATTTATGTATATTAGAGCTTATTGTTGCATCTATGTGGCTTTTGTAACATCTCTTCTGTAGTTTTCATCTTTGGTGTCTTTTTCTTCAGATCTGTCTTCTAGTTTACTTATTTTCTCTTCAAATGGGCCTAATCTGTTAAACTCATCTGTTGCACTTTCAATTTAGAAAATTGAATTTTGCAGTTTGTTACTTCCATTTGATTATTTTTCATTGTTTCAGTTCTCTGGCAGTTCTAAATTTTGTCTTTTAAACCTCTGAACAGATCAAGTATAGTTATTTTAAAGTCTGTCTCTAACATTTCACATATTGGATTCATTGTAGATCTGTTTCTATTATCTGTTTTTGTTTTTTATATTTTTTTTCATATCCTTTACTTAGGCATTTTTACTTGACTTGCTGAACATTGTATATGAAAAATTATTGAAATAATATAAAGCCGTTTTCCTTATGAGAGGCAGGCAACTAGTGGCACTAATAATCCTGGATCACCTTAACCCAGTTACAGGAATTGAAATTATATGAAGTTGTGAAGGTTGGATTATTTTTAATTCTTCCCTCACCATAGGGGACCTAATCCAAAGTGCAGGTTGTTTATCAGAGGTCCCTTTGTGTAGTGGGTCCTGAATTCTTAGTTTTGGCCACTGTATTCTGGGGCTCTCAAGCACTGCTCAGCTTCTCAGTCTCCCATCTTCTTTTGGAATTGGCATGTCCTTCTAGAGAGGAGCTGCCCTCAGCTCTCCAGGTGTCCTCATTCTGGTCTTTGCTCTGTTTCTTTTTTGCTTTGTTCTCCAGTGCCTTCAAGTAGATATCTTTCATATTTTTGTAGGCTTTCTAATTCTCAATAGGGAGGTTGGTTCACATTACCTAATCTGCCACCACTGGAAGCAGAATTCTTAAAATGATCATATTAAAAATAAAATTTATTTTGATTTATTTTACAGTTCTTCTGTATGAGTTATCAACTGTCATATGAAACCCTCCTCAGGAGCATTAAAACTAATTCGAGGGAGAGTAGAGTTCAATGATGTTGATCATGTCTGTATTGTTTTTAAGTAAACCATTTTAGAAGACTGCAACTAGTTCAGAAAAGATTTGTTTATTCTTTAAACTGTGTGCCTTTTCTGTGGACCAGAGTTTCAAAATGTATATTATTTTTTTTTAGCTCCTTCAAGAGTAATATTTATAACTAGGTCTCATGGATCCATACCTATGTCCAGAGGCTCATACTAATGCCATTTATTTATGTGTGCAAGTGCATGACCATGGGGACTTTGGTACTGTCTTATGTTAGCTGAAAGGCTGAGGCTTTGTATGTAGTAGACACACACATATCTGTTGAATGAGTAATGAGTGAGTTATGATAATTAGAACTAATAAAGCATAAATTCTGGACATAATAATAAGTGGGAGATGAAAGGGTTAGCTTTAGAATAACCAGTTTCCTAACTGTATATTTACTGCGTATGCATTTTTTTTAAAGATCTCTGCGCTTGTCCTAAGAGCCCAAACGTCTGAGATCTTACTTGAAGAGTTACAGCAGACATTTTCCCAGGCAAAGAGAGATGTTCAGGAACAGATGGTAAGTGAACATTTAAATAAACATTAACTATGTTTAATGTATTCCTTTCTGTTCTATCCTGAAATCATCTGGGATTATGACCTTATCTCCCTGGCCAAAGTGGTTACTATTATGTTCTCCAGGGCGTATAGAACATTAGTAATGACAGGATTATGTGAAGATGTTATTCCTTTTCTAAACCTACGTCCTGACCAGAAAAAAAAACCCAAAACCAAAACCCCCCACAAAACTCACCTTTAACTTATTTTTCTGATTTGGGAAACCTAAACAGAATAAACTTTGGACAAACATTTATTTTTCCAGTTCTAAATACAAGCTAAAACCTGAAGTCTGTCAAAGCCATAGCAGGTGCAGCTTTCAGGCAGTTATTGTGCTCTTCCTGGATAGCTAATTTATTTAAAATAACCTCATTAATTTCACAGGAGTTATGATAAAACATGCACCATAACTGGTGTGGTGCTAGTGAACTTCCAGACGGTCATTGATTTCTGTTTCACCCTGTTCCCACCCACTTCCATACATGATAGTTTAAATTTATTTTTGTTTTATCCTTCTGTTTTTTTCTTTACAAAAATAAGCAAATATGTACATATTCTTCTTTCATAGTCCTATCCAAAAGGAAATGGGGTGCTAATATTTTGTTGTAAATGGGTTTAAAGTTAGCATGAAGCACAACAGATTGTGGTCTGAAGAAAAATAAGAGCCTGTAGAATTAACCAAAGTTTGTGCATGATCTTGCCTGCGTGCCAGCAGTTGTTTGCCCTTCAGGATGCAGCGATCACCTTCTCTAGGCAATGTTGTTGAACCCTCTCCCCTAGTTAGGTACCCCTTTATCCTTCATCATTGCTGTATTTATTCTCTGTTGTAGTACTTGTTAGCACAGTTGAGTGATTTTTGGTTTATTTGTCTTTCCCTCCACTGCACATGAACTTGTCCAGGGCAAAGTCTCTGTCTTTTACCTCTTCATTTCTCAAGTGCAGAAAAACACCTAGCATAGATTAGTAATAATTGCTAACGAAATGTTGGATGATGAGTAATCTACATTTATATATACTTATAGGTTAAATGACTTAGTATTTAAAATTGCAAAATTAAGTACTTTTCATAATTTTATCTTACACTTCAAATTCATAGGAAATACCCAAAATGTTTTTATGCATCAGCAAGCAGAAGTGGGAGTGTGTCTCATTTTAAGAATGTGTTACTCAAGTGTCCTGTATTTCCTAAGCATAGATCCCCTCTATGACTCCCAAGATTTGGGATCCTTGTCTGTTCACAGTGATCCTGAGCTTGAACATACATATATATAATTAAAGGTGAAGACACTGCTTTTTGTTTCTCCCTACTTCCTGTTGAATGTGTGCCATCAGCAAATAGAAGTTTTTGGAGTACATGCTCTATCTGATGTCCTGATTGTATCAGTCATTTCCATTGAGCTGAGATGCTAGTCCTATAGTTCAGGGATATTGGGGAAGAGATTCATTGCTTTTAAGCTATTGGTAGAAACAGTGAAGAATGAGCTCAAATATTTGTTCATTGTCTGTCTCTTTGAATATCTGTAAAGGCTGCAAATCAAAACATCTCTGAGCTGCTTTTTGTAAGTCTTACAGAGCTTTATCATGTCCCCTTCATCCTCAGCCCTCATTTGGTTTGGCCTTGTGTTTCTCGGGGGCAGCTATCAGCAGATAGGATTTACCTCTCTGGCTGTGATGAGCATCTGTTTCTATTGCAGGCGGTGCTGATGCAGTCACGGCAACAGGTTTCAGAAGAGCTGGTGAGGTTACAGAAAGATAATGACAGTCTGCAGGGAAAGCATAGCTTGCATGTGTCATTACAGCAAGCAGAAGACTTCATTCTTCCAGACACTACAGAGGTAACTGACTTCCCACATGATCAAAAGTGTAAATCAGTATATTTTCTGAAATGGCTACAGATTCTTCTTTTTTCAAATATGCTTTATTGAGATATAATTCACATACCAAATAATTCACCCATTTAAAGTGTACAGTAGTTTTTAGTATATTCTAAGATGTGTAGCCATCACCATAGTCAATTTTAGGATATTTTCATCACCTCAAAAAGAAATCCCCTTACCCTTTATTCCCCTTCTCCTTGCCCACTCCCAGCCTTAAGCAACTACTAATCTACTCTCTGTCTGTAGATTGCCCTATTCTGGACTCCCTATGATAGAATAATGCAGTATGTGGTCTTTTATGTCTGCCTTCTTTCACATAGCATACTATTTTCAAGGTTCATCCATGTTGTAGCATGTGTCAGTACTTCATTCCTTTTTATAGCTGAGTAATACTCCACTGTATTAATATTTTATTTATTCATTTGTTTGTTAATAGGCATTTGGGTTGTTTTCCACTTTTGGACTATTTTGAATAATGTTGCTGTAAACATTCATGTGCAGGGTTTGGTGTGGACATGCTTTGTCAGTCCTCTTGGGTATAAGCCTAGGAGTAGAATGGCTGGGCCATGTGAAAACTCTGCTTAATCACTTGAAGAGTTCTCCACATCCTTGCTAACACTTGTTATTACCTTACTTTTTGATTTATAGCCATCCCAGTGAGTGTGAAGGGGTATTTCATTATGGTTTTGATTTGATTTTCCCTAATGACTAATGATAATGAGCATCTTTCCATATGTTTATTGGCCATTTGTATATCTTCCTTGGAGAAATGTCTATTCAGATCTTGATGATTGTTTTTCTAAATGGTACTTAAGAGAGTGTACCACACCTGCCTTCCTTCTGTCTTCCATTTACTTCTGTGAACTTTTGGTCGCTTCATTCTTCTGAGGTTAGGTGAATCTGGGCTGCAAAACCAGAAGCTTCCATGAAACATTCATATTTATCTCCCTTTCTCCAACCTTTATACCCATGTATTTCTAAACCTTTCAGCATATAAAAAAAATACCATGTTAGGCTAAACCCAAGTAAATACTGTTAGCAGTATAGGCGAAGATGAGATTTTTTAGCACAATTTTCAAAACAAAATAGAAAAATGTTACTTGTTAAGATACTTTAATGTGTTTTAAGAAAAGATTTAATTGTTAAAAATTACTTAAAAATCAAACATTATAGAAATTCATAGTTTTATAAGTTTTCCCTAATCCTGTCCTGCATATTTCAGCTTCTACACTTTGGACCTCATTCTTTTTCTTTTTTCCTACAGACATATGAAGATTTCTGTTATTTTTGTGTTTCTCATTTATAAGGGCTCCATTAATTGCCTTGCCGTTAGCCCCATGCTCTTCCTCTCACTTCCTCCCTCCCGCAGCTTGTGGTCTCAGCTCAGGTTACTGCCACTCCTGGGAGGGCTCTCTCCTTTCAGAAAAGGTGACTGAATTAATCAGAGGGAAAGTTTGGGGACCTGTCTACTATTGCTTTCAGCATTATTCCATCTCTGGAACTTTTCTCTTTCAGCAGGAAAAATTCCTCTCTTCCATGTCCCTTAGACTTTTTACTCCTAGATTAAAAAAAAAAAAATTCCATGAGTCCTTTAAAGATGTAACCAGTCTAACCTGTAAGCCTTGATTCTTAGACCTGCTTCAGTAATAAATCTTACAACATTTTTCTTGTTAGAGTTTTTAGTTACCCTTTTTTTATATACATTTGGTAGTTCTGTAATTTATATACATTTGTTAGTTATCTAAGTATCCCAGTTTTTACTTTAGAGTTGCTTTAGGATGTGATTAGATTTTTAAAAGAAGACAACTTAGGGAAAAAAGATTTAAACTGAATTTGTAATAGAAAAAAAACTCATTCCCTTAGAAAGCCTCTCTACTGCCATCCTTGCCTCTGGCTTACTGGGGTACTTTGCTTGTGGGAGATGTTCAACAACTGTTGGAATGAGTAACTGAATAATAAGTAAATGAATTTTATCCTTATAGAGTTCACACTTGCTTCTGAGTTTTAGTCTTTTTGGTCCTTATTCCCTAACTCCCCTCAAATCTAAGCAAGTTATAGTAGAAGCTTCTGGGTTACTCATAGTGAATCCCACATTTTAAGTCACTTATACTATTTTTAGTTTTCTACTTGTAAAACAATTTGAGGGAAAAACATATAATTCATAATACACATTTTTGGCTGGAAATGTTTTATTTCTGTAACATACTGAATGTTAACATGGCACACAGCATCTTCCCCTTGAAGCCCTGAGTTGGAGTTCGAAGTCTTAGTTTTGAACCATTAAAACAACATCTGAAATTCTGGTTGCAGAAAATGTTAGCTGTTTTTATTTTCTTTTGTCCTCACAAACCCAATAACCACTTGTTTCTCAAATCCAGGCACTGCGCGAGTTGGTGTTAAAGTTCCGAGAGAACATCATTAATGTGCGGACAGCAGCAGACCACATGGAAGAAAAACTGAAGGCCGAAATACTTTTCCTCAAAGAACAGATTCAAGCAGAACAGTGTTTAAAAGAAAACCTTGAGGAAACTCTGCAGCTAGAAATAGAAAACTGCAAGGAGGAAATAGGTGAAGAGAAAAGTGATGTAGTTTGGAATTGGAGGCACTAAATAAAACTTCTTTGTAATATAAGCAATACATGGTCATGAATGTAGAAAACAGAAGAGTGTAGGGAAGAACTAAGGAAGGGTTCAGTCAGTTTTTCCAGATATTCTATAAATCCAGTACTTGGGAGTAGAAAAAAATACATAAAACCAAAAAACACTCATCTTTTTAGGAGCTCTGCTGAATGGTTGGTTTCTTTGGCAAATATTAAAGCTTGGAAACTCAGTACTTGAATCCAGTGGGCTGGGGAATGTGATTAGATGGGTGGCATTTCCTTGTAGAACATTGATGTGTTAACAGACTTGTACTGGGAATATACGCCCCACCCGTGCACCCTACCCCATCCCCAGTTAGATGTGGGTACTTGATGTAGGGTCGTCGATGACATAACTAATTCATTCGTGCAGGTAGACTCCTTACCCGTTCGTGCTGCTGATTGGTTGGGGATGGTATTGAGAAGGAGGTGTTGCTTGCCTGCCCCTCTGGCCCAGTGTACTTTTGACTCCTTTCATTGTATGAGATTGAGCTTATGGTAGAAAGGGTGAGAGAAAAAATTGCATTATGGTTTAAAGGAAAAAAAGAAATATAATGAATGCTAACACTTCTCCTAATTTTTTCCTTCTAGCTTCCATTTCCAGCCTAAAAGCTGAATTAGAAAGAATAAAAGTAGAAAAAGGACAGGTGAGTTTCATGAATTTCAGATGAATTCTGTCAGAAAACAGTAGTTATTTATTGAATCCTGCCATGTTGACCCAGGGAATAAAATACTGTTAGGACCCAGTCCCTGCCCTCAAGCAACTTCTGTCCAGTGAGGTAGGGCGTGGGGATGATAGAGACCCCTTACTGCGAGTTGGCCCTGTGTTGACTGGAAGAGGTGCAGGGCAGACAAAGATGTGGCTGCAGCTGGGAGTTTCTACTGCAGAGAAGACTTGCAAGGCAGGGCCATGACATGATATGTACTTAAAGCTACAGTAGAAATATGTACAGACTCTTATATAAACAGGAGGTGATGTTTTCTGGCTGGCTCAGAGAGTCCTCTTCTTTTACACACCATCAACACTTTTGGTGATGACCCCATTCAGCCCCATTGCCTTATTGTTCATTGCCTCAGTGTCCTTTGCCTCCAACCTGCCCCTCCTTCCCACTCTGGGCTGCACCTCAGCCCACCTCTGCCATCACACTCCAGCCTCACATTCCCTCACCTGTCTGCCTGCCTTCCAGCTTCCAGGTCTTAATCCCATAGATCCATCTGTCTGAGGACCTCATTCAGACCTTCAATTCCCTGAACTTCCCTTTTCTCCTGGTTTTAGCAACTTCTTGTTGCTTTACTTTCTTTCCTGCTAGGCTGCATCTTATGTATCTTCCTCCCCAACTAGTAAGTCTTCTACCAACACCCACAGGTCCCTATTCCTGTCCTTTTGCTGCCCTCACTCAGTACTGCCTAGCCCTGCATCAGTCCCTGTGTCTGTCCAAGCTGCTGCTGGCCTGGAGGGAGTGATGCTTCTCATGCTGTCAGTGGAGCCTCTGCTGTTCCTCAGCCTTTCATTGTCCTCGGTGTTTCCTGTCTGTCCTGCACAGTGGCCATTTTATTCACCGCTCACCTCCTCCTTCAGCAGACGGTGGTCTCACACCCTGTTGTCAGGACTGCCTTCAGCTTCTTGGCTCCTCCATTACATGTTCTCTCACTTTTCTTCCCAGTCTCCTTTCTTGTTTCCTCAGAGAAGGTGATGACCTGTTTTGAACCAGCCCTCCATCCCTGCTCACGGGCTGTGACTGAACCCCTCACCTCCACCCCAGGCATCCTCTCAGCCATTGGCAGGACTTCTGCCTTTTCATTGGTCTTTCTGTAAACATGCTCAGATGTCTCCCAGTAGGAGGGGAAATGCCTCTCTTTGGATTGCCTTCTCTCTCAAGCCACCAGTCTGTGTGCTCCCCTCACAGCCAGGGTTCTGGAAGATGGTCCCCCCGCCTGGCCTCCCATCACTCCTCAACCCTACTTTCAAGGTTGTACTGGCAGAAATTATCCATATTCTAAACGTGTCCCATCCTTCCCACTCCCACTGCCACTGTTGGTTCAGACTTCAGGACTCACCTGTCTTATTGTGGCAGCTGTCTACTTCCTTGCCTCTAAAATTTGTCTCCTTCTGGGTCGTCATCATACTGAAACCAAGGTGATTTTTAAAAAATTACAAACCTGTGTACCAGTCTGGTTAAAAACTCCCCAGTGGTTCCCTTTATCTTCAGAGTCAAATCCATCTTCCTTTGCCCAGCCAGGGGTCTCCTGCCTCACCATGGCCTTCCAGCATCATCCTCCAGGCCCCAGCCCTCTGTGCAGTAGTGGTGTAAGAACTCACCAATCCTGAACGCAGTTTTATACATGTCATCTACTCCCTTTTTTGAACTATCACTATCCACCTTTGCCCCTTACCAACCTTTTCTTTCCCTATGAAATTTTTCATCTTTTAAGGGCCAAATATTGTTCACATGCCTCAATTATTTACATATCTGTCTCTCTTGATTTCTCTGTCCCCAGGCCTTAGCATGTAGAGGGAGCCTAATAAATGATTAATGAGAAAAAGAACAGTTCTTGAAGAATAGATGGAAAAATCCACAGAGATCAGTGGGTGAGAGGAACATTCAGAGCACAATCAGCCCCCAAGGTCAAGGAGGCCCAGAAGCTTGGATGTAACTCTCCAGGCTGTGGCCTTCTCTGGGCAGTTGTGCTGTGACCTACAGGGAGTTTGAGTTTCAGCTCTTGCCTTACCAATTTTGCAGTTGGAGTCCACACTAAAAGAGAAGTCTCAACAGCTTGAGAGCCTTCAAGAGATGAAAGTCACTTTAGAAGAACAGTTGAAGAGAGAGACTGCTGCTAAGGTAACATTTTTGTTATTAATTTAGTAAAAAGGCAATGCTAAGAATGTAGGCTCACATCTTGCCTATTAAAAAACAAGCAAAAAACACTGTTGCTTTGACCTTCTGGAAAGTTGGCAAGACTCTGCAGAAAGAAAAAGAAGTGATTTGATCTTGTTGGGTCACCTCTGGAGGCCTGTATCTTAGGCCTCACTGGCTTCTTCAGCTTTGGGCCACAGAGCTGTGAACCAAATCAGGTGCTGCCCATAGCTGGCAGCACTGCTTTGAAAGTGTCATTCTGTTTGCCTGATCTGTCAAATACTGCACTGGACCTTATTTGTTATCTAACTTTTGATTAGTTCTGTTAGAATAAAAGTGCATGAGGCTAATTATGGGGGAAGTTTCTTAGAAGTGGTCTGAGAGCTGTGTGGTCAGACCTCTTGGGCTAAAATACTGTGTACGTGTTATTCAGTAGTTCTTTAGCAAGGTTCCCCCAGGGTCCTGCTGAAGTGTTTCTCTCTGGGGAACATTGGTGATAGCTGGGCCTGCCTGGGGCATCGAGAATTTTCCTGGAAGGTGCTTGACTGGTGGTTGTCACAGGAGACCCTAAAGTTTCTATTCTTGTTGCCGTGATAGCTACTAATCTTAGAAGCTGGTTTTCTTTTATGAGGATTAATCACTATCATCAGGCTGCTGGGGGTGAGGGGGAGGAGGGGGAAGGTGCAGCACTTTAGTTCATTGTTTATTTTGGCTTTCATACTCAATGCATTTGAGGACCTGCAGCAAGTAGGTTAAGCAGCTTGTACCCTTGCTTTATAAAGGGAGGCTAGCAGGATCTAGGATGGACATACATGTATCCATATATATGATGGACACCCACTTTTCCTTTCTAGTAGTAGGAAGCTGCAAGTTCCTAGATTTCCTAAGTGATCCTGACCTATGGCTTTTGGGCATTAATTCTCATTCTAAACTTGTATTTTTTAGGTTACTATTGAACAACTAATGTTTGAAGAGAAGAACAAAGCTCAGAGGTTGCAGACAGAACTGGATGTCAGTGAACAAGTCCAGAGAGATTTTGTAAAGCTTTCTCAGACCCTTCAGGTAAAAGGCATTTAGAGAGTCCCTGGACAGAGCACTTGGTCACTTTAGGGGCTTGTGGTGTCCAGGGGAATGTGGCAGTCCCAAACTCTACCACTGGCAGAAGCTTGAGGATTAGAGGCTATGGCTGCCCCTGCCCCGGCCCCAAATATCTGTCTGGTCATTCAAGCCAGAAACCTAGTTTGTGCTTCACGTTTGTCCCCTCTTCCCTCTTCCTCTGTACCTTGCTGGGCCTTAGGAGTAAAGTATGAAGTCCTTAGCATGCCATGTAAGACCTTTCCCATCCAGGCCTAGTCCTGTATTTTGCTCATTGTTTTGCCTTACCTTTACATTTTATGTTCTAATGTTTATCAGCCACTTCCCTTGCCTTCAGCATGACATTCCCTTTGATAAGCATCCATGTCTCAGCACGCCCTTACTCCTTTCTTTCAAGGCCCAGCTTAGCTTTGTCCTCCCCATGGAGTCCTCTCCAGGTTCCTCTGCCAGGCTATGGTGTCCCCTCCTCCACACTACATTGGCACCTGATGAATGCCTTCACTGTGCTACAACTCATTTCCCACCCCAAACTGTGGGTTATCAGGGGTTAGGTCTCGCTCATGCTCTAGTCTCAGCACTTTACACTGGGTCTCTTGCAAAGGGGCTTTTGGGAATTGTTTGACTTTAATTGTTCTTGCTGCCTCCTTCCTTTGAAGTGACTATTCTCTGGTGAGTCAGTCTGCTCCTTCTCAGCTAATCCAAAGTAAACTTCAGGAAATCTAGGCAGGAGCCGTCTGCACTGAGCTCACTGTGGTGTTTCTCCAGGTGCAGTTAGAGCGGATCCGGCAAGCAGACTCCTTGGAGAGAATCCGGGCGATTCTGAATGATACCAAACTGACAGACATTAACCAGCTCCCTGAGACATGACACCCTCGTAGCAGGACTCTAGCCTGCAGTTTGGGTTTTTAACTCGTCTTTAGAGCAACATTAATTATTTAACTTTTAACTGAAGAAGTCACAAAAAAGGAAGACTGAAGAAGTCCTATTTCTTGCAGGGAGACTGAGCAGCACAGGAACAGCAAACAGCCCGTGTAATCTGCAGCAAAAAGACCTTTCAGATGGGAACACTAAGGCCTCTGCATTGATCTCAGCAGCTGTGGGGTCAGGTGTGGGGAAAAAAGTCCTGCTGCCTCGCTTGCTTCACCTGACATGTCCCTGAAGCACCATCCCAGAAGTGCTGGGAGTCCCATTTTCTGTTCAGATATTGGAAAAGAGAGTTTTCTTTTTCTATTGTCTAGAGTTCATCAGTAACAGTATTCAGCTAACAGACAGAGGTGTAGTATCTGTATGAAATTTTATATTAAAATTTATAGTTTGAGAGCAGGCCATTGGCTAGTGACTGTATGTCCATAGCTCAGTACATTTTCCTTTTGTCTTACCATTTTATCTTGTGCTGGAGGATCTTAAGTGCTACTGAAACTTGCCTGAGAACCAATTTGAGAACTGAATTGTGAGAATTTGCAAACTTAGCTGGGGCTGTATGCGTTAGACGTTGAGGTTAAAGGGAAGCACAAGAAACTGGAAGCACTTTTCCTGTTACCTGGACGAATTTCATGAGCCCACAGGGACCAGATCAAGCTGAATTGGCACCATCTACTCTTTTGGTAAATACTTAGTTTAGTTACTGGGTCAGTGGAAAAAATAAAACAAGCTGACAGAATATAGCATAAATTTATAAATCTGCTGCTCATTTGTAGTTCGAGTCAATGGTCCTGATTACTATTTGTTTCAAAAGTATCAAATATAAAATGGTGGTAACTAGGTTTGACAGCTATTTTGTATTTTTCTTTTATAACATAGACCTGGAGTGTCAATGTTGTAAAAGAAAATGCAATGGTGAAGCTGGGGAAGACCCAGTTGGTGTTTCCCTCAGTTTAGAAATCTGCCCTGTCATTTCTGTGAGGGCCGATTGCTTTCCTGCACGTGGAAAGCATCAGTAAACAGGAAGCAAAAGAATGATGTGTCCACTCTACCTGCCGCAGTAGTTAGCCAATGGAAGCTATGCTGCTTAATTGGTCAATGCAGTTCAAAAGTAAACTGTTTCCAAGTAATTTTTGTGGTCGGTGCTGCCTAAGAGGAGGGTGCTTGAAGGAACCCTATGGAAATTCAGTGGTGGCTCAGAGCCACCATCAACCTGAAGTGAATTGTCTGTCACAGACCAAGTATTCATGGACTACCCCAAAGACCTTTTCTCTGTCTTCCCATAGGGCAAGACGAAGCACTACATACCTCATTCCTTGGGTTATTGCTAGTCTTGTGTCCATGGTTATGAATTTAAAAGTAAATACTATTGAAATAGTGTTATAGGCTTGCCATGCATGAAACATTATTTTAATTGGCTTAAACCTTTGTTCAAGTTCTACTTCATTTAGAGGAAGCATATATCCTCATTGAGTTACAGGGAATTTTTAAATTCCAAAGTGCAATGAATTTTTAAATGTAAGATTAGTCCCTCATTTTACATTAGGAAAATGTAAAATTAGCACTGGAAATCAGGAAGGGTAAATCCATGATCTTCCCAAATGAACTGAAATACAACTCCCAGAGAACTGCTCTGCTGAGGCTGGGCACCTTGCATGTACTTCTCCTTAAGAGGCATTGGGCTGATAAAATCGTAATTGGGGAACAGTGGTTACTGGTTTCTACTGTGGCAGATCCAAACTGTTGCAACCCACTTTGTTGAGAAAAGCTGTCTAGAAAAACCCAGACTGAGACCCCATGTTTTGTTAACAATCTATTTCTAGTATGGAACAAACTATTGTGCCACTGTCCTGGTAGGAAACATTTCTTTAAACTGGGTTTTCTGTATGAGTGGGAAGCTGATTTAGAAGGTAGATTTAGCCCTTGTAGATAAAGGATCAGTTAGGTTTCACAAGTGTTCCTGTGCTTGTCCTCAGTCTGTACACAAGTTCTCATGCATGTCTAACCTGATTTACCTCTTTCCTATAACGTACCTTACCATGTGGCTTTTAATTGGCAGTCACTCAGCCATTTCTAGGCAGGTAACAGTATTACCTTTCAGAATTCTATTGGCAGGTATAAAAAGATTACATAAAGCTGAGGATAAAACCATATACTGTACACCAAGCTATGTTTCTGCCTTTGAGGTCTTACACCTACTTATGCACGTGTCAGGACACAGAGCATAGCCCTGCCCAGTGCTGAAAGGTCACACTGCCTGACAAGGAAATAAGCCAGCAGTGGCCTTGCAACTGTGGATGTTGAGCTCGGCTCTGAGTGGGTTTCAGGTGGAAATGTTAACCGTACCTAAGGTGTGTTCTTAAGAAAGTTCAAATTAAAAAGCTGCTGCCTAGTACACTGTGTGGCCTTTTCCTTTGAGTCCTAGGGTCTGTCCCTCTTCCAATTCCTATTTCAGTGCTGTTACTTTACAGTGCAGCTCTTGTTCATGCTCAAGTATGAAAACTCAGTGGGTTCGTGGAGATCTGGTGGCATGCAGCTTTTTAAAAAAAAACCCAGGCCCTTGCTGAATACAAAGATGAGTTTATATTATAAGGAACACTCCAGTTTTTAAATAAAGGCATTTATTCAATAATTATAAAACAAGTATAAAAATGAACAATCACACCAAGTTCATCCAAGATGCCTCTATAAATCTGATGTCCACCTGTTTTTACAGTGAGTTTTAGTCTCTGCTTGTGTTGACTCCAGGTGTGAATCTTTCTGGTGGTATCAGAAGTTCACATGATTTCGGATATCATTAATTTGCTTCACCATTTCTTTTATGTGTCCACCCCTGTAAATCAAAAAGTCACTCACTTCTGGGAATACAACAAATGAATAAGCCATTAGTATTGATTCTGAAGAATTAAACTAGTAATGCCAAAATATCTTTGAAGTGCTTTTCTAACATTAACAGCCTAAGCTTCAGAGGGACGGTAACGGTGTTTGCTATTCAGTTAAGGCCAAAAGTGGCACAAACAGTGCAGCTGCTCACAGCGTTTCTCAACCTCCTCATCCTGGAATCTGATGGCCACACAACAGGCTCAGATCACAAGGCAGGCATTGTTTCTGACCCCCCTGCACACTCACTTCTTAAGTCCTATCTAGTATTTCTCCTGTCCCAGTAATTACTTGACATACAAAGACCAAGTAATCTTTGGGCAGAAAAAGACTGCTTTTGTTATTCTGCAAAGGAAAAACCACCTGGTAGTAAAAGCTGGCTGGCAATGTTACTTACTCCTCCTTCAGGACGGACTGAATGCACTTCCGCTGGTAGGCGCTGAATGTAATGGTGGGTTTTTGAGGACTCAGGACCTTTCCCATCTTTCGCTGTTGATAGTCTTTTTTCATAATAACCTTAAGTATCAAACAGAACACAGTTTGTTAGATATTCTGATATTTTGGCTGTGGTTTGCTACACAACTGCCTAGAATCTACTTTAGTCTGTTCTTTTTACATTTTATAAAATTATATAGAACAAACACTTCAGAAGCAACGAGTTTGCCACCTTGCATCCATTCCTACCTGTTTGATGGCATTGCTCAAATGTCGAAGTTGATCAGGTATCAGCTGTAACTCTTTCTTCATGTCTCTCTCACTATCAGAGAGCACTGGCAGCTGAGAGTGGAAACTGTGGAGGACTTTCTTCATCCTTTAGAAAAGGTAAACATCTCAGCTAAAGATTCTAGTACTTAGGGGAAAACAGTGATTATTACTAATTCAAGAATCTGGTGTCTGTGCAGGGCCCCCAGGATGGGTTAGGAGAAGTTTCTCTGACTCTCCAGAGAGGGAGAGGAATCAACTTCCTCTGTGGACACAGGAAGGTCTGCAGACCCACTTTCCTTAGTAACACTGTTGGTGCCCAAGTAGGGCAGGGCACTGAATAATGTACAACCCCCTGACCTGCTCATGATATCCTCTTGTTTCTCTTTGGCTTCCTCATATTTGTCGGCTAAGCGCTCAGCCATTTCCCGTAGACTTTTCCTAATGGAACAAAGAAGAGACTCTTAGGGTCCACCTTGATGGTGAAACCAATCCGGTCTTACTGAATTACTGTTTTCTTCCCTAGTTTTGGCACTTACCTCTCCTCTCGACAATAATTGAGATCTTCTAGTTGTTTCTTTTTTTGGTCACATAATAATCTGACCCTTTAAGAGCAAAAAGAAATTTAGTCAGAAGCCAGATCTAGGCCATTATATAGTGTCAGTATTAGCCAGGGACTGTGAACAAAGGCCATCCTACCTCCGCTGAATCTCCTCCTTAGCCAGGTCCTGTTTAAGAATGTACTGTTCTCTGAACACCTGGGTGGCTCTGCTGATGAGATGAAGACATTCTTCAGGAGGAGGGTCTGTGTCTTTTTCAGATGATCTTTAAAAAAAGTTTTGAACAATCTTTAGCTAAGTAAAACAACTGAAAATAGACGAGTTAAAGCTTTGTTCAATTATACCCTGTTTATCATTCTCAAGTGCCCCTGTTCTCTCTATTCACTAGCTGATTAAATATGCTGTTTCTTCCAACTACAACATAGTAAAAAAGCATATGAAATGAAATGACAGAAAGGATGAACCATAATTATGAAACCAGAGAAAGGAGTCAGTCTATAAAACCTGTAAGCCCCAAATTCCATACTTCAAAAACGTCGGATTTGCAACAGTACGTTGCAAAATGCCTCTAATATGCTTTTCAAAGGAATCCGGGGTTTCAGCCAAAATACAGAGGGGAGATTCTGTCACTTCGACGACATCTCGTGTACAAAGCAGGGGAGGAAGCGCTGGATGGACTGTGCTTCTGCAAAATCAATCAATCAATCAATCAATCAAAGTATACTGTGGAGTTATTTACATGTAAGTATTATAGGAAAACATGAGCCCACATATCCAGAACTTTGAGAATATAAGAACTACAAACTGTTATTAAGTAAAAGTACAAGAATGCATGTTTTTAGCCTTGACAAGGCCACCCTGGGAAGCTATCCCCTTATACCGACTGTTGTCACTTCAAATTCTTTTTGAGAAGATCAGGGCAGCACAAAAATATCAATTCATCATGGACTTTTTTGCAAAGGACATGAGAGCCGGTTATAAGCCAGAGTCACAAATATGACAGCCCTGGAAGGTGACTGAGGTTTTTAAATGCAGGAGTAGGAGTCCCTAACAAGCCACTGGAGTGTTGAAAACTAGATGCCCCAGTCTCTTGGTGTTAATTCAGTGCATGTGCTTCTAGACACTGACATAGTCCAAAATGCTGGCATTAATTTACTGTCCTTAAAGGAATTTCCTTGCTCTCTGAAGACTAATAAGTTATACCATTTAGAAAAGAAAATAATTCACTATCAATTTTGTTTTATTTATACTAAAAGCCTAAAAACTAGTAAGGGTAAATAAAAGTAATAAAATCATTGGAGAAAAAACCCCTGCCTTTTTGCCTGTTGGTTCAGCATACTTTTTAAGAATCCATCCTACTTTCAGTAAAGTAAGACCTAGTCACACTAGGTCACTAAAGAATAAAAATATGAATCCCAAAAGAAAAAACATGTTCCTTAAGGGGACTGAGGATCATGGTTTCGGCTATATACTACCTCTTTTCCAGAGTTTACATGTTCTGTGATGTCCTTCTGAGCCTGGTAGGGATGGAGATAAGGGCATGGACTCTGGAGGCAGGACACCCTGTGTCTGCAGTCCAGCTCCATGTGTCCCCTGTGAGGTCAGCATTATGTAACCTCTCCAGCCCTGCTTTCTCTTCTACAAAGCAGGGTAACTGTGCCCACCAGGGCTGCTGTGACTACAGGAAGCAATGCAGGTAAATGGCTTACTTCCGATCCTGGCACACAGAACTTGATAATCATTCACCATATTCCACACTTCGAAGTAAAGCTCTTGACTCTTAAGATAACTTGAAGAGATGGCAGAAATCATGCCCAAAATAAATCTTTCCAGAGACAGAAAGAAATATCCACTTTGCCAACCATCAAGTCAGAAGCCAAAGCAGAAACAATGTATCTTCAAGTCAGTTACTAAGGCCATCGTCTGTCCCTACTTCAGTTCTGTAGAATTAATGAGAGCTATGTGGGATATAAATTGGGACATACAGTAAAGGCCTTATGAGGCACTCGTAGGTACTGGTGATGCAGATCATCGTAGGCCCCAGCACGTCAGGAATGATCCAGAATCCTCTGATCGGAGCTGGTTGCCTGGAAAAACAGCCACAATTAAGTGACATGGCAGCAAATGCAATGGCTCCAAGAGCAAAAACATGGCTGAGGTTTAGCGCAGGTGGTGACTGGAGACCTGAGAGTCTGAAACAAGCTAGCACCTCAGTCTGGGGGCCATAAATGACTTCTAAGTCAGGCAGGGACTGTAGCGACATGGTGCTGGGGCTCCCTGTAATCTCGGCAGTTACCATGAGACGATGAAGTTGGCTCTTCACTATCTTTCTCCCCAACTTGCACATTAAGCCCCACCTACCTTTCTACGGCCAGCCCAGGGCCCCACCAGATCACATGCTCAGAAGCTGCTAAGTAGAACCTGAGTCTATCCACATCAAAAATCCAATGCAGCTTTCCCATCTTGCAAGATGGTGGTGAAAAAACCGAGAAGCCAGACACCAAGGAGAAGGAACCTGAAGCCACGGCTGGTGCTGGTGGCAAGGTTAAGAAGTGTAAGCTCCAGGCCAAATTGCCTAAGGGCAGCCCTGCTGCAGCCGAAGCCTGTTCCAGTCAGGAACTGGCAGGCACTCCAGATTGGCTGCATTCCAGAAAGGCCATGTACAAAAGGGAATATTCAGCAGCTGAATTCAGGATAGAAAAGAAAAAGCAGGGGAAGGTTCTTGTTAGCTGTCACAAAACTGGTTGGTGGGGACAAGAATGGTGGGATCTGAGAGCTTAAACTTTGCAAAATGCCTAGCTATCCTTCTTAAGATGTGCCTTGGAAGCTGTTGAGCCATGGCAAAAACCCTGTGAGCCGGCATGTGAGAAAACCAAGCCGGCAGCACTCCCAGGACCACCCTCACCATTGCTGGGTGCCCCAGAGGCAAGACAGTCATTTTCCTGAAGCAGCAGAGCAGTGGCTTCTACCTGCGACTTGTCCTCTGATTCTCAATCAAGTTCCTCTGCAGAGAATGCATCAGACATTTGTCCTCACCACCTCTACCAAAACTGGTGTCAGTGGGGTGAAAACCCCCAAATGTCTCATTGATGCTCACTTGAAGCAGCAACTGCTGTATGAGCCCAGAAACCGGGCAGGTGAGCTCCTGACACAGAAATACAACCTCATAGAACAGCTCAAGGTTGACAGGAAAGCTGTGGACAAATTCTGCTGAAGATTCTGCTGAATATTCTTCAGCTCAGGACTATCTCAG